TCCCTCAACATTTGCGTTTTCCACTTTTGCGGGCTTCGAACATTCGCAAATTCCCAGCCGCCCAATCGTATTTAAAATAAGTCATTACATATGTTAGGAATTGTGGTGGTGGCAGAGTTTGGAGATAGGACAAGATTGTCCTTCAATATGACACTAATATCAACTCTACAGCTTATTTATCTATCACAATTCATCTAATATGACATTATAAAAAATATTAATAACATAGAAACATATACTCCAGAATGAATAAAATACGTCATTAAGTATGTCAGGAGTGTTGCTGTGGTGGTGGTGTTGGATGTATAAGAGGCACTGAGACATAAGACTTACATAGTGGTGGTGGAGGCGGCAGCAGAGGCACTAAAGACTAGAGACGGCAGTGTTGCCAATTGCCCTGTATAACTCCAACAACATTGGAGGAGTTAGGTTCGTGCTGTCCTTTTCCTGTCGATTATTCGCTTAACTTAACTGCTACACTGTTAATGTTACACTTTATCGCTGGCTGGCACTATAGCCTTTATTGACTCGTCCTGCTTTAGTATCGCACATATCGTAGAATGACTGAATCACTAAAGACGGCACATTCTCCCCTCTCTCTTCCTCTTCTACTTTGTTACTCTGCTACGAGTTCTTTCTTGAATTCTATAGTTTTTCTCGCCTTCTTTACCAAAGGGCTGGCACTAATACAATATCTTATGATGTTTTCATGTGTTTTATGATTGTTCATGGTTCAGTAGGTTAAAGAAGCAGTATTGTTAGGCTAAGTAAATGCTATTATTATATTTCCCTACAATATATTTGTGCACCTAACATTTGCAATTTTTCAACATTTGCGAGGTTCTTGATCCTCTAACCCTTGCGAATGTGGAGGGAGACCTGTATAAAGAAATGATACATGCTCTCTGCCAATCCCTAGGTATCTTCCCCTCTTTCATACATTTATTAAACAAAAGTACCAACCACTCCAACACTATATACCCCCTGCTTTTAACATTTCTGTCATGATCCCGTCAGTTCCTGCTGCTTTACCCCCTTTCATTTTACGGAATGCCCCGCCCACTTCCCCCACGCTCACATCCTGCTCTTCTTCACTCCTAAAAGATGTTATGCCTCCCTGGCCAGTGCATGAAGTGACCGCCTCCTTTTCTTCGTCGATATTTAAAAGTTCCTCAAAATATTCCTGCCATCTACCCAATACCTCCAGCTTCCCATCTAATGACTCCCCTACTCTGTTTTTAACTGACAAATCCATTCCTTTCCTTGGCTTTCTTGTGTATCTCCAAAATTTTTTCTTGTTTTCATTAAAATTTCTTGACAGTGCCTGTCCCACTCTATCATCTGTTCTCTTTTTGCACTCTCTCACCACTCTCTTCACCTTTCTTTTACTCTCCATATAACACTTCTGCTTTGTAAAAACCTCTCAAAAACTACCGTTTTTTATTTTATCACACCCTTTACTTCATCATTCCACCAAACACTCCTCTTTCCTCCTGCACCCACCCTCCTATAGCCACAAACTTCTGCCCCACATACTAATACTGCATTTTTAAAACTATTCCAACCCTCTTCAACCCCCCCACCCCCACCCCACTGCTCGTACTTGCACTAGCCCACCTTTCTGCCAATAGTTGCTTATATCTCGCCCTAACTTCCTCCCTAAATTTATACACTTTCACCTCTCCCTTACTTGTTGTTTCCATTTTCCTTTCATCCCATCTACCTCTTACTCTAACTGTAGCTACAACTAAATAATGATCCAATATATCATTTGCTCCTCTATAAAAGTGTACATCCTGAAGCATCCTGAAGCCTACCCATCAACCTTTTATCCACCAATACATAATCTAACAAGCTACTTTCATTATGTGCTATATCATACCTTGTGTACTTATATATCCTCTTTTTCATAAAATATGTATTACATATTACCTAACCTCCAGGTATCCAGGTAACCTCTTTCTACACATAGCTCAATTAAAGGCTCCCCATATTCATTTACTCTGGCACCCCAAATTTACCTACTACTCCCTCCACAACATTTTTACCCACTTTAGCATTGAAATCCCCAACTACAAGTACTTGGTTGAAAACTTCCCATGAACTCGCTCAACATTTCCCAACATCTCCATCTCCATCTCCATCTCTCTCTCTCTCTCTCTCTCTCTCTCTCTCTCTCTCTCTCTCTCTCTCTCTCTCTCTCTCTCTCTCTCTCTCTCTCTCTCTCTCTCTATCTCTATCTCTATCTCTATCTCTCTCTATCTCTATCTCTCTATCTCTCTATCTCTCTATCTCTCTATCTCTCTATCTTCTCTTTTCTCTACACTTCTCTCTTCTCAAGGTGCATAAATGCTTACTATAACCCACTTTTCACATCCAACCTTTATTTTACTCCACATAATCCTTGAATTAATGACTTATAACTTACATCATTATTATATCCCTCCTATCCTGTAGTGTCATTGAGTTGAGTTTCCTTAACCTCTCCTCATAAGACATACCCCTTACCTCAGGTACTAGTCTTTTTGAAAACTTTTGCACTTCCTCCAATTCCTTGAAGTGTTTGACCAGATGTGGTTTCCATACTGGTGCTGCATACCCCAGTATGGACTTGACGTACACGGTGTACAGTGTCGCAAATGACTCCTTACTTAGATGCCGAAATGCTATTCTCAGGACACAGTTAACCTCCAAGAAGATATAAAACAAGTTTTCCAATGGGCATTAACCACTGGGCTAGCTGGCCCAGTGGCTAACGCAACGGTCTGGAGTTTTGCGACTCTCTGATCACGGGTTCTATCCCCACCTGTGGTATGGTATGTTCATTGAAGACAAATTCCAACTACTATGTTATGGAAAACTGGAGGAGGTAATAACTAGAACTGAGTATACTACAAACTCTGATCATACAATAGAACAAAAAAATAATGTGAGAGATCTGGGAGTGGTAATGTCTGTGAATCTTACTTTCAAGGATCACAACAGTGCCACAATCACAACTGCAAAAAAAGATAGGATGGATAATGAGAATGTTCAGAACAAGAGATGCCAAACCAGTGATGATCCTTTTCAAATCACTTGTTCTCCCTAGGCTGGAATATTGCTGCACATTAACATCTCCATTTAAAGCAGGTGAAATTGCAGATCTAGAGAGTGTACTGAGAAACTTTACTGCACATATAAGTTCTATGAAACACATCAACTACTGGAACGTTGGGAAGCACTTGACTTGTACTCGTTGGAACTCAGGTAAGAGATATATCATAATCTGCACTTGGAAAATCCTAGATGGTGTGGTCCTGAATCTGCACACAGAAATCTCTCCCTAGAAAAGTAAATGACTGGACAGGTTGTGCAAAATACCCCCAATAAAAAGTAGGGGTGCCATTAGTGCACTAAGAGAAAACACCATAAGTGTCCAGGACCCAAGACTGTTCATCATACTCCCACCATGCATAAGGGGAATACCAATAGGGCCTTGGCTGCCTTCAAGAGGGAGCTGGACAGATATTTTACGTCAGTGCCAGATCATCCGGGCTGTGGTTCAAACGTTGGACTACATGCGGCCAGCAGTAACAGCCTGGTTGATCAGGCCCTGATCCACTTGGAGGCCTGGTTGTGAACTGGGCCACGGGGCTGTTGATCCCCGGAATAGCCTCCAGGTAGGCACCCATATGCTGCAACAGTTATTTGGTTGATGTGCTCCTCAAGGGATGTGCTCAGTTTAATGCTCACCCCAAGATCCTTTTCCTTAAGTGAGCTTTGCAGCTTTTGATCCTCTAGCCTGTATTCTGTCTGCAGTCTTCTGTCCTTCCTCAAGCTTCATGACTTTGCACTTGGTGGAGTTAAACTTCAGGATTCATTTGTCGGACCAGGCTTGCAGACTGTCTGGATCCCCTTGTAATCTTACCTAATCCTTCTCTGCTTGTATTCTCCACATCAGTTTCACATCATCGGAGAACAGGGACACCTCTGAATCTATTCCTTCGATCATCATACTCACATTTACAAGAAAGAGCACTGGACCTAGGACTGACCCTTGTGGAACCCTACAAGGGTGGGTGGGTGTGAGTTGAATGTGTGTGTATGTACATATGTACTCAGAGAAAGGAAGAGACTAGTGGAAATAATGAAAAGTACTGCTAAATTGTTACAGGCTTGTTTCACTCATTCCCAGATAGTTTAGCACAGTTTTATTGGCTTCTGTCCCCATTTTCACACACTGATATACAACAAATATGTGGCTATGATTTCCAGACTATTGTGTTGGACAGATTTTAAAAGATATTTTTTTAATCTCCACTTTTTTAATGAAAGCTTTGGACCGTTAAACATATTATTCATTTAGTTTTCTTAGTAATACATACATGAAAGTTCCTCACTATTCCCTGACCAGGTTTTGATTCTGTGCACCAACTGATCCACACCAGCCTGTAAAGCATAGGACTATCCATGAGGACGTTGCAGACCTGATTCCCAGATCATTCAGTGAACAGTGTTCACCAGGGTGTTCCCATGCCAGCTTTTTATATGAAGGCAACCATGGCTGAAATTTCCTTTCGGCTACACTTTCTGAGTGATATATATGTAAAAGCATCATTTGATTGTTTGTGATTTTATTGCATCAAATAGTCATCTATCACTGTATTAACTGAAACTTACAACAATGCACTTAGAAAGTGAAGGGTCAGTGATGGGACCATACACAAAATAAAGCATTTGCCACTCTCACTACCAATTGCACCACAGATATGTTGTGGAAAATCCTTGTTGGTTCCTAAAATAGTCTTCTTACTCAAGATCATCTCATATGGGTGTATAATAATGTAGTCCATAGTCCCCAGTACTCCTGTCCATTCAAGCTGAAATTTGTGCCTAAGAGATTTGTTGTACATTTACACTTAATAAAATTGGTTTTACATGAGGACCTCACCACATTTTGTATAATTAGGCTTTAATGTCATATGGTAAAGCTGCAAATATGTAAAACCTAATTACAGGAAGAGGATGAAGCTCCAGATGATGAAACTATTAATCAGATGATTGCTCGTGGAGAAGATGAATTTGAGTTATTCCAGAAAATTGATGAAGAAAGAAGGAAGGACTCTGTGAGGCCACGTCTAATGGCTGAGGATGAATTGCCTGAGTGGATGTTAAAAGAAGAAGATTCAGTAAGTGTTAAAGGAAACTTTTTTACTGTTGGTGTTTATTTATAGAATTTCAAATATCACTGAAGTATAGACATTGGCCCTTCCTGTAAGCCCCAGCTCCCATTGTATTTATATTTTGCTGTTCATCAGATTTTCATGAAATGTAATACATTGTGAAATGCAAGTGTATACTGGACAGTATATCATTATTCAACAGGATAGCCCTGGAAAGTTAAAACTAAATTTGCTTTTCATACATTTTCCCAGAACATTATTATGAAAGGTTGAATTGATTTTGATGCTACATTTGTAGATCACATTAGTGGAGGAGTTATAACTGTATTAGTTTACAAGCAGTGTGGAGTTGCATAATTATCTAAAACTTGTATTTTATAGTAGTGGGATGGGTTTTATTAATCCCTATTTCGGTAACTTTATTTTTTCCTAGATTTTCTTGCATTAATCCAGAGCTTGTAAAACAGACAATGTAGTGTATGTAACTGACATAAAAGAAACAGTTAGCAGTTAGAAAGGGTGAGGAGGAAGTGGTATCTTGAGTCCTTCATCTCTGAAGAGTAAAGTTATAATTTAAGAACAATAAATAATGATATTTGCCATTGTGAGTGACATCTAAACTGTCATATGTGGGTGCCTCTGCAAAGACAGGGATTGTTTGAATGATGGTGAAAGTTTCTTTTTTGGGTCACCTGCTTCAATAGGAGATGGCCGATGTGTTAAAAAAAACTGTATACTGATGAAATATTAAGTTCATGTTCTAATGTAATTAATTATTTGAAATTCAGTGGCAGTTCTTTAGATTTTAATTCACTTGATTATGACAGGATGAGATTGAAGAAGAGGAACCAGAGGAGTTGGGAGATCGTCGTGCTCGATCTAAGAAGGAAGTAGACTATACAGATAGTTTAACAGAAAAAGAGTGGCTACGTGCTATTGGGGTATGTGACTAGTAGTTTCTAAGTATAACAAATACTTTTTGATGGATGCTAATTTATATATTTTTTTTTTTTTGACAGTGGAACTCTTCAGGTGTGAAAGTGAAAATTTTTAAGATTATTACTTGTTTTTAGGTGTGCAGAGAATTATGTAAAAGTGGGAGACGGCCAACTTGTTGAAAAAAAAAAAAAAAGAAGGATTGTTTGTAATATAAGTGGTGTCATTAATTAGGTTGGGCCAAATGTAATTCAGTTGATTTTAAATTTTTTGTTACTTTAACCCGTTGACTGTCGCAACCCCCAATCCTGAGGTGTCTCCTGGTGTCGCAAAATTTAACCCTTTCAGGGTCCGTCCCGTAGATCTACGGCTTTACGTTCAGGGTCCAAACCGTAGATCTACGCCATGAGCTCAGCTCACTCTGATAAACTGTGAGTGGTACATTTGGGCCTAGATATGAGAGAATGCATCTATGTGGTATGTGTGCACCACATAAAACAGATCCTGCAGCACACTGCATAATGAGAGAAAAAAAATGAAATCATGATTTTTCGATTAAAACAGCAACTTTGCAGTGGTTTTTCGTATGTTTTTTATAGTTGTATTTGCGATTTCTTGGTCTCATTTGATAGAATGGAAGACATATTACAGAAATAGAGATGATTTTGATTGGTTTTCGCATTGGAAATGGCTTGAAACTGAGCTCAAAGTAGCGGAAATGTTAAATTTTTGCCGATATTCAAGAGTAAACAAACGACCTCACACGTCTAATACACATCAGCTGGTGGGTCTAATATACATTCACAAATATGGTGATGATATTTATACAATTATTACAGTATTGCATAACAGTAAATCTTCTATTTTTTGGTGTGAATAAAAATTCATTATGTGAATAAAAAATCAAAATGGAATTTATTTGTAAAGCCTCAAAACATAACTAATGAACAGAGGAAATGTTAGTTTAGTGCCAGGAATGCCTACATTGTTCATTCTGGACCCTATTTTGAAATTGGAATATTTTGAACTTTCTGTTAAATTGGCCAAATTAACAATTTCCGATCACTTTATTTTGTAGTTGAAACAGTTGACTTGGCGATTTCTTGTGCTCAATCGATAGAATAGAAGTAATACTAGTGAAATAGCTAAGAATTTGGTTGATTGGAATAATGTAATTGGCCTAAAATGGGAGTCAAAGTCGGCAAAATCGCCGATTCGTAAATATTGCTGACACATCAAAATTCGCGAGAGCATAATTTCGTCAATTTTCCACCAATTTTCGTACTTTTTGTTTTATTACCTTCACAAAAAGATTCTCTACGATTTCATAAGAAAAAATAACAAATTTTTTTTTTTAAATATCTTGGACACTGGTGCGTGACTCCAGATTTGGGCCTTGGACCCTGAAAGGGTTAAAAAAAATTTTTTTTTTTATTTTTTCTTGTGAAATGATAGAAAATCTTTTCCTGATTGCAATGACACCAAAAGAACAAAATTTGATGGAAAACTAACGAAATTGCGCTCTTGCGAAGTTAGTGACCGCGGCTATATTTACAAATCGGCGATTTCGCCCAATTTGAGCCCTATTTTCGGCTAATTCCGTTATTCCAGTTGACCAAACTCATAGCTATTTCTTTAGAACTCCGTTTTTTCTATCGATTGAGTATAAGAAACGGCCCATTGACCGATTTCAACTACCCAATAACTTGGTCGGAAATTTGCAATTTGGCCAATTTCATGAAAATTAAAAAATATGACAATTTCAAAATAAGGTCCAGAATGAACAATGCAGACATTCCTGGCTCTAAAATAACATTTTCTTTGTTCATCAGTAATGTCTCCAGGCCCCTCTGATATTACTCTTGCTTTCTATTTTGAATTTTTATTCAAATGGAAAATAGAAGATTTACTGTTATGCAGACTACTGCAATACTGTAATAATTGTACAAATAATGTCAGCCCATTCATGACTGCATATTAGAATGGCTAGTTGGACATTTATTGGACAATGACATCAATTGTTTACTTTTGAACATCGGCAAAAATCAAACATTTCCCCTACTTTGAGCTCCATTTCAAGGTTCTTTTCATAGTAAAACCAATCAAAATCATCTCGATTTCTATAATATGTTTTACATTCCATCAAATGAGACCAAGAAAACAAGAATACAACCATAAATACTATACGAAAATAGACCACAAAGTCGGCATTTTAATTAAAAAATGGTCATTTTTGTTTTTCTCATTATGCACTGCGTGCTCCAGGATTTTTTTTATATGGTGCACACTGACTACACAGACCCATTCTCTCACATGTGGGCCTACCAGCTTTCTCCTGCTTGATTTGAAGCCGCTAGAATTTATGAGTTTATGTATATCAAACACGGTGGCTCGTAAGACGTATATATACGACTGAAACAGTCAAAGGGTTAAACTTTAACCCTCTGACTGTCGTGACCCAAAATTATTTTTTCTTATGACATGATAGAGAGTGATTTTTTCTTATGAAATCATAGAGAATCTTTTCCTGATGTTAATGACACCAAAACTACGAAATTTGATGGGAAACTTACGGAATTATGCTCTTGCATAATTCTGTAAGTTTTAATTCCGTTAGCGATCTCTGCGATGTTTACACGCCGGTGATTTCGCCCACTTTGAGCCCTATTTTCGGCCAATTCCATTGCTCCAGTCAACCAAACTCATAGCTATTTCTTTAGAACTCCATTTGTTCTATTGACTGAGTGCAAGAAATCTGCCATTTACCAATTTCAACTACCCAATAAAGTTGTCAGAAATTGGCAATTTGGCAAATTTCATGCAAATTAAAAAAGATGCCAATTTCAAAATAAGGTCCAGAATGAACAATGCAAACATTCCTGGCACTAAAATAACATTTTCTCTGTTCATCAGTCACACCTCCAGGCCCCTCTTATATTACTCTTGCTTTCTATTTTGAATTTTTATTCACACAAAAAATAGAAGATTTACCGTTATGCAGACTACTGCATTATTGTAATAATTGTATATATAATGTCAACCCATTTGTGACTGCATATTAGAATGGCTAATTGGACACTTATTGGACAATGACGTCATTTGTTTACTCTTGAACATCGGCAAAAATCGAACATTTCCACTACTTTGAGCTAAATTTCAAGGTCTTTTTCATCGTGAAACGAATCGAAATCATCTCTATTTCTGTAATATGTCTTCCACTGTATCAAATGAGACCAAGAAAATGAGAATACAATCATAAATACATGTACTACATGAAAATACACCTCAAAGTCGGCGTTTTAATCCAAAAACATGGTCGGAGTTTTTTTTTTTCTAGTTATGCACTGCGTGTTGCAGGATTTTTTTTTATATACTGCACACACTGACCACACAGACCCATTCTCTCACATGTGCGCATACCAGCTTTCTCCCGCTTGATTGGAAGCCGCTAGAATTTTGGAGTATAAATACGTACGTCAAAAACACTGGCTTGTAAGACATATATATATATATACCACTGAAACAGTCAAAGGGTTAATTAGGATTTAATTTTTTTTTTTAAATTCCTAGAGATTTTAATAACTAGTAGATGTCACAGTCTGGGGTTAAAATTATATTTTTTTATTCCATGCAGGCTGTTGAAGAGGATGGGAAAGAGGTAAGAGGTAATTGGTGTGTGTCAACTTTAGCATGTGTGAATCTCTGTGTTGTTATATACTTTATAAGTTTGTAGTTACCTGGCTAGTTTTTTAAGTCTTTAATTTGTAAAACACATCTAAAACATCACAGTCAATCAAATATATGATGCATTTTAATGGAAAGCTTATTATAAGTTTAAATTTTGCTAGGTAAATTTTTTTAATAAAACATTTATGGTGCATTGAGGTATGTGTGGAGACAAAAAATGTTATCTGTGGAGGCAAAGAAGGGAATATATGAAAGTATAGTAGTACCAACACTCTTACATGGGTGTGAAGCTTGGGTTGTGAATGCAGCAGCGAGGAGGTGGTTGGAGGCAGTGGAGATGTCCTGTCTAAGGGCAATGTGTGGTGTAAATGTTAAGCAGAAAATTTGGAGTGTGGAAATTAGGAGAAGGTGTGGAGTTAATAAAAGTACTAGTCAGAGGGTTGAAGAGGGGTTGTTGAGGTGGTTTGGTCATTTAGAGAGAATGGATCAAAGTAGAATGACATGGAGAGCGTTTAAATCTGTAGGGGAAGGAAGGCGGGGTAGGGGTCATCCTCGAAAAGGTTGGAAGGAATGGGTAAGGGAGGTTTTGTGGGCGAGGGGCTTGGACTTCCAGCAGGCGTGCATGAGCGTGTTCATTAGGAGTGAATGGAGACAAATGGTATTTGGGACCTTATGATCTGTTGGAGTGTGAGCAAGGTAGTATTTAGTGAAGGGATTCAGGGAAACCGGTTATTTTTATATACCCGGACTTGAGTCCTGGAAATGGGAAGTACAGTGCCTGTACTCTAAAGGAGGGGTTTGGGATATTAGCAGTTTGGAGGGATATGTTGTGTATCTTTATACATATATGCTTCTAAACTGTTGTGTTCTGAGCACCTCTGCAAAAACAGTGATTGTGTGAGTGAGGTGAAAGTGTTGAAGGATGATGAAAGTATTTTCGTTTTGGGAATTTTCTTTCTTTTTGGGTCACCCTGCCCTGGTGGGAGACGGCCGACTTGTTAAAAAAAAATTATGGTCTAGATTTAACTCCTTAAAATGTTAAGAATATTGAATTGTGGAAGCACGAGAAGAAAGAAGGTTTTGTGTGCAAGGGCCGTGGACATTCAGCAGGCATGTGTGAGCGTGTTAGGAGTGAGTGGGACCTGACAAGCTGTTGGAGTGTGAGCAAGGTAACATCTTGTGAAGGGATTTGTGGGAAACCAGTTAGCCAGACTTGAATCCTCGAAATGGGAAATACAATGCCTACACTCTAAAGGAGGGGTTTGGGATATTTGCTGTTTGGAGAATCATTTGTGTACCTCTGGCAGGAGAGTGATAGTGTGAATGATGATGAAAGTGTTTCTTTTTTGGGTCACCCTGCCTTGGTGGGAGATGGCCAGTGTGTTAAAAAAGAAAGATCAAACATTTATATAAAATATAATGTGAGGTAATATATATCAGCCAAACAGTATTGTTCGTTTGGTGTTTACAGGTTTTTGTAGCTTAATGTCTGCAGTATTATTAAAGTAGTGGACAATATAATTTGATATTTACACATGAAATATACTCTTGTAAAATCATCCTCAAGTTCAAAATTAAAATTTTTGCATGATAGTATAATACATCAGTGAAAAGCTGAGATTTGTTTTTGTTTTTTTGAATAAAAATAATTTGCTTTGGAAAAAAGCTATGTAAAATACATAGTGTGTTAAATTTCATATCACTTGTTAACTACTTAAATGAGAATACTCAGCATTTATTTTCATGATTTTATAAATACAGTAGGGCCCCACTTATACGGCAGGTTAGGTTCTAGGCTACCGCCGTAAAGCGGAAATTGCCGTAAAGTGGAACACCCTTTTTTCCCCTTATAAATGCATACAAACACTAGATAACAAGTTTACACTAACATACATTAAGTTATCAATAGAACTTGGCATCAAAAAACAATAAAAAAATACAATACACCCACAGTGCACTCATTACTTACCTTAAAATATATATAGTCTTAATCTAGGGTGAGACAAGTAGTATTTATTGTAAGAAATCAAGTGTGGTATGTATGGTAGTCAGCTGGGCTACCATACCAGGCCATTCTACCCACACATAATATTCTATGATACTTAAGCATCCCAGATTCATTCATTCATTAGAGATTTGCCAGTACTTCCGGCCCGGGTCTTCTCCAGATGGTGACCCAGCGGTGGCCCCCGGGGAGGGGGTGTCGTTCATCTTCTTCATTCTTCTATCTTCTCTCTTGGGCCCTCCGGATGGAGGGTAACTTCTTCTTCTATCTTGCATTGACTCCCCCAGTGGGGAGTGTCTTCTCGCTTGGGATCTTCAGTGTCACAGTTGGGCAGAGGCAGAAAACAGGGTCCCATTGGAGCCTCACCCCAGCTTTAGCAAACAGCAGAGCGATAAAATGCATATACAGTTCACTCATTACTTACCTTAAAATATTTGCAGTCTTAATGTAGGGTGAGGGGTGAGTAAACAAGATCAAACGAATAAATGAGAGAGAGAGAGAGAGAATGAGTACATGTGGGAGGACAGGTGCAGAGTTATGTAAACAAACCAGGCAAACATAAGTTTTGTAGACAAAGTGTACACGTCTGGTTTGTGTACAAGTTGTCTCTACATTGATATGGTAGAATAAATAAAGAAGAAAACTCCCATTCTCATGTAACACCATTTTTAGAAGAAATGATGCTCTGAGTGAAGGCAATGGAAATAAGTCACTCTGTCTGACTTTTTTGGGTTATCCTAGGTACTTTACACATATGCTGCTATGTATGATAATCTATGTAACTGTATTTGTGTATACCTGAATAAACTTACATACATATGAAAGGAATAATTTTCTACATTTACCCCCAGTAACACATTTTCTCTTATATTAGACTAGAGAAAATGTTCTCTTGCCGTCACTTGTACAAGTTCTTTGGCTACGTCATCTCATATTTATGTTTATTTATTCTATTGTCGGGTGTATTTATCATCTTTATATGTTATGGATCTTGTTTATTATATAATTTTGAAAAAATATCATGGATGGATTAAGGAAAATGCATATATTAATGTAATATACGACATTTAACGAGACTCGGTGATTATTATTATTATTATTATTATTTCTAATATGGCGTCATTTGTGCAAGTCGTCTGGCTACCACATCTCATATTTATGATCATTCTACTGTGGGGTGTATTTATCATCTTTATATGTTATGCATTGTGTTTATTATATAATTTTGAAAAAATATCATGGATGGATTAATGAAAATGCATATATTAATGTAATATACGACATTTAACGAGACTCGGTGATTATTATTATTATTATTATTATTATTATTATTATTATTATTATTATTATTATTTCTAATATGGAGTCATTTGTGCAAGTCATCTGGCTACCACATCTCATATTTATGATTATTTATTCTACTGTGGGGTGTATTTATCATCTTTATATGTTATGCATCGTGTTTATTATATAATTTTGAAAAAAATATCATAGATGGATTAATGAAAATGTGTTTATTAACGTAATATACGACATTTAAATGAGACTCGGTGATTATTATTATCATTACTAATATGACATCTTGAGATATAAGACAGTCTTACTGATTTTAATGTGTACCTGCATGCCAGCACAGTATGTAAGTTTATTTAGGTACAGGTATACATAAGTATAATTATCAGAGGTAGGGGAGTTTCGGTGGGGGGAAATAAATGGGATTAAATCTGGAGTATTTGAGAGAGTTAGAGCAAAGGAAGGGGTAGCAGTAATGTTGAAGGATCAGTTATGGAAGGAGAAAAGAGAATATGAATGTGTAAATTCAAGAATTATGTGGATTAAAGTAAAGGTTGGATGCGAAAAGTGGGACATAATAAGCGTGTATGCACCTGGAGAAGAGAGGAATGCAGAGGAGAGAGAAAGAGATTTTGGGAGATGTTAAGTGAATGTATAGGAGCCTTTGAACCAAGTGAGAGAGTAATTGTGATAGGGGACCTGAATGATAAAGTAGGAGAAACTTTTAGAGAGGGTGTGGTAGGTAAGTTTGGGGTGCCAGGTGTAAATGATAATGGGAGCCCTTTGATTGAACTTTGTATAGAAAGGGGTTTAGTTATAGGTAATACATATTTTAAGAAAAAGAGGATAAATAAGCATACAAGATATGATGTAGGGCGAAATGACAGTAGTTTGTTGGATTATGTATTGGTAGATAAAAGACTGTTGAGTAGACTTCAGGATGTACATGTTTATAGAGGGGCCACAGATATATCAGATCACTTTCTAGTTGTAGCTACACTGAGAGTAAAAGGTAGATGGGATACAAGGAGAATAGAAGCATCAGGGAAGAGAGAGGTGAAGGTTTATAAACTAAAAGAGGAGGCAGTTAGGGTAAGATATAAACAGCTATTGGAGGATAGATGGGCTAATGAAAGCATAGGCAATGGGGTCGAAGAGGTATGGGGTAGGTTTAAAAATGTAGTGTTAGAGTGTTCAGCAGAAGTTTGTGGTTACAGGAAAGTGGGTGCGGGAGGGAAGAGGAGCGATTGGTGGAATGATGATGTAAAGAGAGTAGTAAGGGAGAAAAAGTTAGCATATGAGAAGTTTTTACAAAGTAGAAGTGATGCAAGGAGGGAAGAGTATATGGAGAAAAAGAGAGAGGTTAAGAGAGTGGTGAAGCAATGTAAAAAGAGAGCAAATGAGAGAGTGTGTGAGATGTTATCAACAAATTTTGTTGAAAATAAGAAAAAGTTTTGGAGTGAGATTAACAAGTTAAGGAAGCCTAGAGAACAAATGGATTTGTCAGTTAAAAATAGGAGAAGAGAATTATTAAATGGAGAGTTAGAGGTATTGGGAAGATGGAGGGAATATTTTGAGGAATTGTTAAATGTTGATGAAGATAGGGAAGCTGTGATTTCGTGTATAGGGCAAGGAGGAATAACATCTTGTAGGAGTGAGGAAGAGCCAGTTTT